AGATGTTAAAATTTAAAATTTGCGCTATTCATCGTTACTACGATGTTACAATACTGCGCCTTCATTTACTACATGTTTCGATGCGTAGCATCATCTTCAGGTTTTTCCTTTAAAACTACTTTATATTACAATGCAAGTTTTTCATTTATTCATCTATTTTGTAAATTATTATAGTATGTGTTCTGTTGATCTTCTTATTTTATGTATCTTATGTTTGTTTTCCATTATTCTGTTGTGTTCCATTAAACTTTAAACTTTAAATTTCTTAATTCTTCACAACTTTTGATTTTGATATATTGCTATCGCTTGAAAATATTTAAAGTTTGTCATATTCGCAAAGGAGTTATTAGACATGTGTGCGTAATGATTTTTCATACATTCTGATTACAATTAATAATGCGGTTATCTTATATCATTCTCCTTACTACTTGCTGTATTTGAGGTTGTAATACGTGTGAGGTATGAACGCATGCGTATGAGATAAACAGGGCCATTGGGTCGTCTACGTGTATTAATTTCCGCGTCTAATGCTCTATCACACCCTAATAATGTCTCTTTTAAGTTATGACATTAAAGTTTCCTTAGAAGTATGTAATACGGTGGTGTAAATACTTAAATTCAACAATTTTTTTAAATTGAAAATAATGTAATATTAAAACTTATTTGTATTGCTATCATTACTGCTATAACAAAAATAATTAACCGTAAACACACAAACAGCTTTTCCAGCACAAGTATTGATGTCAGTTTTTTAAACAAAACTGAAACGTTCTCTTTTGATCATATTTTTGTTACATGTGGTTGGACTTAGTTTATAATTACAAACAGTTTGTGAACCGAGTAAACGTATGGCTAAGTTTTGAAGGAAAAACTTCAAACATAAAATTAAAATTGATACTACAGACTGAGAAAACATTTAAATCACTGCCTGTTCTTCATTTTGTAATAAGATGATGTGAAATTTTGAAAAAACTTAAAAATTCTTGTTGTTGTTTTTTTCCATCAGTGTACATAAAGAGTTTCTTTCCAAGTATACATGCTTTTTGGTCGTGTTCATTATTCATTATGTTATCCGAGGAAAGTAACTGTTCACGTCTTTATTACTCGTCAGAGAAGAAAGAAGCTTTGAACCACGAATCAAAGTTAACTGCTTGCTT